GTGAGAAGCTGTGGAGGTGCACTGAAGCCCTGGACACTGATGATACTGGGGCATGTAGCATTCAGGGCCCTTTGCAGGTGCCCTGAATGCAGCGCAAGGGCTGGTTTCTGCCAGCCTTTGCAGAAGGGAACGTGAGAGCTCACCTCAGAAAGGGCCTGTTTTGTTTTGTTTTCTGACACTGGTTGGTGGCCTCTGGGAGATAGGGTGTACCAGAATACATTCAGAAAGCAGGTGAGTGCACCCTAAGGCATGCTCACACATGCTGATGCCCAAGCCATGGGTGACTCTGGGTGGCAGAGTGTAAGAAATGTGGAAGCACAGAAAATCTGATGGGAAGGGCACCACCCTGAAACCTGCTGGACAGAACATAGAGACAGAGGTAGATTTTAGCAGTTCATCACACTAGGTGATCACTAGAGGTTCTTCCAGCCAACATTTCTATGATACAACAGCTCTGTTTCCCAGTCCCTTAACCACCTGAGCCAAAAAGGTGGGATAGGAGAAACAGGACCTTACAGAAAACATGGCCACGCATTTGGGGCAGATCTTGAAGTATTCCCCTAGTACCTGGGACAGCATGAGCACAAAAAGTATGGTTTGGACCTATGGAAGGATTGTACTTTTGCAGCAACCTTAGGAGCCCTGGTCTTAAAGATAAAATATACTCTGTAATGGCAGTACTTGCAATTAAAAACTAATGAGTGTTGAAATGATTTGTAGCACACACATAGCAAATAGAAGTTGTACAGAAGCACATGAGCAACCAAAGAACACATATAAAATTATATACCTAATTTGCATTCACTGCAAAATGTCATATATAAATGGAGAAACTCTGTATCAAACTACATACGCAACTGTCCATTTGCATGTGTAGTTAACTCAGAATCTATTCAAAGCTCTGTGCACACCTCTACCTGCTAATCCTTTGCTGGAATATAGATCACAATATATCATACAGACCATGAATAAAAGGAATGAAGAAATTCATGCCATCTGTGAGCTGTTGTTTTTTTTTTTTTTCTCTTCTGATGAGTGACACCAAACTTTTGTGAACATACAAAGCTTTGAACTCAGCTGAGATGCATGAGATTAATATGTCAGAAAAGCTGTGTGATTAATGCAGCTGGCAAGTGCACATGCATTTTACTTACAAGAAGCTCCAAGTTTCTAAAATGCTAAAATACTAAATAAAATACTAATAAAATACTAAAATGCTTTAAAGCATCTAAGTGCTGACTATATTGGGGTTTCACTCAATAGCCAATGCATGTAGTGCTCAGAGCAAACATTAATGATGAGACAAAATAGTATAAGCATAATGTTCCACACCATTTTTTTGTAGTGTTTAGTGAATAAATTAATTTAAATGTGTTTGCTGTGATTTTTGTGTCAATATTAACTTACATTAACTAGTTCTCTCTCCTAGCTGCTTTGTCACGTTTCGTTATTTTCTCAGTAGGATATCTCTGCAAAGTAAAGTTACATAACTCAGCTGAATTTATTTGATCCTATCTCTTTTCACCTCATTCTAACATTACTCTTTTAATGATCCTATTATGTTAAACAACCATAACTAATTTCTGAGAAAAGACTGTACCACTTACAAAAAGTGCTGAATAGGGTGAAAAGGAATGGCTATGGTGTGAGATAGCGTTTGTGTCTGGACTGTTGAAATAGTTAGGGAATTTCAGCCTTGAAAAAGAAGGGGTATGATAGAGACCAACAGTGTTACAGAGCAGGTAACAGAAAACAATTGTTCACTGTTTCTCAGAATGTAACAGTGAAGAAGCATAAAATAAAACTAGCAAGTGGCTGCTTCAAAGCAGAAGCAGATAACAGATAAACTGTGCATATTTAAAGGATACTGTGGATGGTATGATTTTATATGATTTCAAAGACATCATTGGACAAGTCCATGGGAAAAAATAATGAAAGGGCTATTGAATATAAAGATACTGCCTTTGATTTATGAGACCCACAAATAAAACTTGCTACAGTCTGGGAAATTATCACTGTATGTTTATCCTTTTACATCTTACACAAGGCACCTACTTCTGGTCATTACTGTAGGCAAGGTAGTACGCTGCTTGCAGCTATGATATGTGGTGGCATCACCAGTGTCATGCCCTGTGTTATTAACAACAAACTTCAAAAAAATAGAAAATGGAAATGAGACAAATCCTGTCTTCATAAACATTCTGTTAATTTCCCTTCAAGGTCAGGTCCGGTTTTCTTAACCATTCCTTCTCTTTGTTGTGAATTTCTGTTAGTGTTGTGAGAGAGGTACTTGGAGCTACCACAGGATACTTGACTAGTTTATTCAGGCATTTGCAGGTAAAGAGGCCTATTGCTGGTTGATCTAAACCACTTATTTGGGTTACACTTGATAAATAAGCCAGCACTGAGATTTAAAGAAATGATTGATTACACCTTGTTAATAAAATTGAAGGCTGCAATTTTCAGAGAGGTCAGCACCCATAGAAGAGGTGCAATTTTCCAATAAATCTGTTCTCAACAGGACACCATGTTTCCCAGAGGGTTAAATGCCCAATGCTCTTTTTGACCTTTTGAAAACCTGGCCCAAAATGGACATGTATTATTTTTCTCAATGGTTTCAAATAAGCCAGGGCTGAAAATAAAACCACACTTGAAAACAGAGTGTTTCACATGTTCTTTGGACAGCATTCATGCATTGTACTTGCTCGTAATTGTGGCTGCAATCTACATTGCAGACCATGGCATTCAAAAGCCTCGCAGTCTTAAAAGATCTTGCTGGACACAAAAATCTATACTGTTATTTTTAAAACCTGCCCACAACAGGTGTTATCAACTCACTGGCCAAGAAAGAGAAGACAGTCCCAAGTGTTTTACACAACACGTGCCCTTCAAACTGACCAACACGGCCAAAGCACTTACTACAGTTAAGGAAAACTTGTTTTTCTACTTTTCCTGACATGACCTCCCACAATCTCTGAGCAGATTTAGGAAATAATTGCATCTGTACAGGAAACATATAAACATTTGTGTGTGCAGTCTGATTACACTAAATGACATACTGGATCAGAGCCACAATTTATCCAAGACAATAATCTGCCCTTGGTATAACAACAGGACGTACATCTGAGAAAGGAAAATCCCAGAGTAGATAAAGACAGGAACTGTGGATAATCTGCTTCCATAAAGATTGAATCTAAATCCCAGAAGTTAGAGTTTGCTTTAAAGCCTGAAACATGAATTTTGATATCTATCTTATTACTCTTTGTTTTTGCAAGCATTGACTATTACAGCTGAGAATTCTAGACTGTACAACATACAAACTTCCTTTTCATCTTGCTAAATTCATGACCTTGGGGACTCTTTGTCAACTCACTGCATTAATCTTTCTATAGGAAAATAGTTAGAAGAATAGAAATTCAGATTGGTTATGTGACTTAAAAAAAATTCTTCCAACTTTACAGTGTAAATTTATGTTTATTGCCTGACATTTTAATGCCTGGTCTAAATTTGAGGTAAATTAGATTTTTTATTTTATCACTCTCACCATTGAATACACTTTCCTAGTTCTTATATAAATGAAAAAATGTTAGAAATGCTTACAGAAGGACAAACAGATTATAAAAATATATACAAAATGTGACAGCTATTTCTGCAAAGAAAAATATCCTCTGTTAAAGCAGGTGCAATGGTAACCAATTTGGTTTTGTTGAAAACCATTTTAGAAATTCAGTTTTTCACAAATGTTGGCAATTTTTATGGACATAACCTGCTGTTAAATCTTTTCTGTCACCTTGAAAGGTGACAGAAAGCTATGAATATACATAAGTTAAGAACCACCAGCATGGGATTAGATCCAGCACAGGTGGTATACTGTGAAATGCCACCATTGCTGTTTCCCATGCAATCACTCTTAACTTTCCTCTAAACACCTATATAGGAATAGTGACAAGGAGATCTTAGTTACACACGTATTCACCAGACTGAGCCTTTACTACAGTCAGTTTTAAAAATAATAACAAACCCATGCCCAATACAGCACAGAAATAGACTTCCAACAATTCTGGACTTTGATTTGCACACCCACTAAGCATGCTCACCAGAGATCAGCAAATTTGAAGGAAAAAAACCAAAACAAGCAGGTTGTAGTATTATGATGATGCTCTGGAGATTTTCCATTACAGTTTAACCAGTGTCAACTCAAAAGCATTTCATGGTATGAAAGGATATCACTGCTGGGCAGAAACAGAAAGAACAGAGATGTTCACAGCTCTGTAATTTTCTGTGTCGACAACATTTGCCTCCTAGAGGGACACTTTATGAAACAGAGGTTTGAGTTATTTCTACCTGTGTAAATGTGTTATTTACACCTGTGTAAAAGTGAACTGTTAGCAGTGGGAGCTGGATATTGGCATATTTCTGTTTGGGATTCTTGGTATTGGAAATTATAATCCAAATGTTCTCAACTTGCAAAAAGTTGACATTTCAAGTAAGCTGTTTCTTCAATCTCTCCTCAATTTTTATTAGTTTTTTGGTGTTCTTTTTAAAATTTTTCCCTGGCTAGGATATATCTGACTGTAGCTATAACTGTCTAAACGTATTGTATATGTACAAACATGCATTTAATCTTGCTGTTTATCACAAAGGCCATAAAGTACTTCCTATCTAAGGAAGAGCATAAGGAACACTTTATTAGATATGTCTTCAGTCTAAGCCAGCCTCTGAGCCAGCACTGGTCTTGTGGACACTTTTAGATGACAGACATGTCACAGCTCTGCATACTGTCATCCCTGGACACACGTTCATTCTAATGATGTTACAGTATTAGTGACATCAAGGACAGTTCAGACCTCAGCCTGCAGGAACAAAAAGGCGGTGGTGTATGACCTTCCTTTACGGTGAATGTTTCACAAGCAGTTCATTACAAGTACTGTAGCAATTAGTGAAATAACTTTGTGCATTCTCACAAGCAATCACAAAGCTTTTGTCATTTGTTTTCTTACCAAGTTGCTCTGCTAAATGTTTGCCTCTCTCAGTGAAGATTACTCGTTCATCCTCCATGTCACATTTGTTACCGACCAAAATTACCTGGGCATTATCCCAAGAGTATGTTTTGATTTGAGTTGACCTTAAAAGAGAAACATAGAGAGAGAGAAGTCAAAGCAAAGCAAATTCCCCTTAAATCAATTTCAAACAGAATTGTAACATGACAAAAAGACAATACTGATTTTGACACCTAGGGTAACATCATTCTGTTTAATTCTGGGTTTCAAATAAAATAAGGATTATATTTCAGAAATTATTTTTTACAGGAATAGTATCAATACAGGTCTTACTTTTGCTTGTTAAAACAAGACAGTTTTTCAGTATTTTCTCCTACCATCTATATTTTTAGAAAGAAGTGGTGACACTTTTTCCCACACAATTTAAAAAAAGTATTTTCACATTTTAATACAAACTTTATCATCTAAAACCAGAGCTTTGAAACAAAATCAACAACTTATTCATTTCTTATCTTTCACCTTTTAGACTCAGAATCTAAATTTATCAGCAAAACTTCAAAGCCAGTCTGTCTTCTTTCTCTTGTTTCTCTCCAGTACTTTCCACTATAGGTCTTTGACCAACCAGGATGACAGCAATTTTTACATTGTGCATTAAAGCCATGGACAGGGGCTGAGTTTGAACTTTGATTTACTTTCCATTTAAATTATACAAGCCTTAATATGCAGACCAGACCCAGTTCTTAGGTAAGTCTGCTGCCTCCCTGGGGCCTAGGTTAAGGATGTGAAGATCAAGCTTCCTACCCTGGTACTACCCTTCAGATTACTATCCATTACTGATTTTTCAGGTGGGCAATGATGAAGTCACAACAAGGAGTCTGAGGACAATCAAGAGAGACTTCAGGGCCTTGGGATGAATGGTTAAGGGATCAGGAGCACAAGTAGCGCTCTGCTCTACCCCTCAGGTTTCAGGGAATGATGAGGGAAGAAATAGGCAGAGCCAGAACATCAATACCCAGCTCCAAGCCTGCTGTCAGCAGCAAAATTCTGTGTTTTTTGATCATGAGTTGGTCTACATGAGACGAGGCCTGCTGGTGACAGATGGGTACACTTGTCTCAAAGGGGCAAAATGATCCTTGCACAGGACTTGCAGGGCTCATTGAAAGAGCTTTAAACTAGATTGGAAGGGGGAAAGGGATGAAACCAGGCTCACTAAAGATAAGCCTGGGGGTGGCACACCAATCACAGAATGGTAGTGGTTGGAAGGGACCTCTGGAGATCATCCAGTCCAACTTCCTTGCCAAAGCAGGTAAAAGTTTGAGGGACAGTGTGCTAGTGATGTCCTTCAGCCTGCCATCTCAGTGGAGCAGGGGATGGAATGCTGTGCAACAGCAGAAGTGCAAGGGTTATTGATGTGTTAGAAACTATGGAAATGCCTGAGTACAGTCATGTAGGAATTAGAGCTTCTCCCCCAGAAAAGGTGGCAGGATCAATAACCCAAAGGAAGTTTATCTATACCAATGCATGCAGCCCAGGCAACAAACAGGAGGAACTGGAAGCTATTGGGCAGCAGGAAAACTATGACATAGTTGCCATCATGGAAACATGGTGGGGTGACTTGCACAACTGAAGGACTGTGATGGATGACTACAAACTCTTCAGAAGGGATAGGCAAGGAAGGAGAGACAGTAGGGTAGCCCTCTATGTTAGGGAGTGTTTTTATTGTCAAGAGCTTAATGACACTGACAATAGGGTTGAGAGGTTATGGATAAGAATCAGGGTGAAGGCCAACAAGGCAGTTATCATGGTCGAGTCTGTTATTATCCACCCCACCAGGATGAGGAGGTAGACAAAATATTCTATAAGCAGGTGGGAGAAGTATTGCGATCACCAGCCCTTATTCCCATGGGGGACTTCAACTTGACAGCTATCTGCTGGAAATACAACATAGCGAGAGTAAACAGTCTAGGAGGTTCCTGGAGTGTGTGGAAAATAACTTCCTGACACAGCTGGTGATGGAGCGAACTAGGAAATGTGCTCTGCTGGACCTGTTTGCAAACAGAGAAGGACTTTTGGGTGATATGGTGGCTAAAGTCTGTCTTGGGCACAGTGATCATGAAATGATAGTTTTCAGTTCTTGGAGAAGTCAGGAAAGGGGTCAGCACAACTGCTACCCTGGATGTCTGGAGGGCAGATTTTGTTTTGTTTGGGAGCCTGGTTGACAGAGTACTTTGGGAAGCAGTCCTGAAGGGCAAAGGAGTCCAGGAGGGCTGGACATCGCTCAAGAAGGAAATCTTAAAGGCACAGGAGCAGGCTGTCCCCATGTGTCAAAAGATGAGCCAGCAGCAAAGAAGACTGGCCTGGCTGAACAGAGATTTGGCTGGAACTTAGGAAAAAAAAATTTATGGTCCTTGGAAGAAGGGGCAGGCTACTCAGGAGGACAACAAGGATGTTGTGTGTAGGCAGGATAAAATTAGAAGAGCAGAAGCCCAGCTAGAACTTAATCTGGCAACTACTGTATGAGACAACAGAAAAAGTTCCTATAAATACATCGGTGGCAAAAGGAAGGCTAAGGAGAATCTCCATCCTTTATTGGATGTGGGGGCAGAGTGACAAAGGATGAAGAAAACTCTGAAGTCCTTAATGCCTTCTTTGCCTCAGTCTTTAATAGTTAGACCAGTTGTTCACCAGGTGCCCAGCCCCCTGAGCTGGAAGACAGAGATGGGGAGCAGAATAAAGTCCCTATGATCCAAGGGGCAAGAAAAGAGTTAGCAATCTGATACACCACTTAGACATACCCAAATCTAGGGGCTGTATGGGATCCACCCAAGGGTATTGAGGGAGCTGGTAGAAGTTCCAAGCCATTTTACATAATTTATCATCAGTCCTGGCTAATAGTTGACTAGAGGTTAGCAAATGTGATGTCTGTCTACAAGGGCAGGAAGGAGGACCCAGGGAACTACAGGCCTGTCAGTCTGACCTTGGTGCCAGGGAAGGTTATGGAGCAGATCATCTTGAGTGCTATCATGTGGCACATGCAGGACAAGCAGATGATCACGCCCAGTCAGCATGGGTTTATGAAAGACAGGGCCTGCTTGACTGAAATGATCTCCTTCTCTGAAAAGGTGAGCTGCTTAGTGGATGAGGGAAAGGCTGTGGATGTTGTCTGTCTGGACTTTAGTAAAGCCTTTGACACCATTTCCCACAGAATTCACCCGCAGAAACTGGCTGCTCATGGCTTAGATGGGTGTATTCTTCACTGGGTGGAAAACTAGTTGGTTGGCTGGGCCCAAAGAGTTGTGGTGAATGGAGTTAAATCCAGTTGGCAGCTGGTCACAAGTAGTGTTCCCTAGAGCTCAGTACTGGGGCCAGCTCTGTTCTATATTCTTATCAATGATCTGGATGAGGGGATTGAGTGCAAACTCAGTAAGTTTGCAGGTGACACCAAGCCAGGCAGGAGTGTTGATCTGCTTGAGGGTAGGAAGGCTCTACAGAGGAATCTGGACAGGTTGGATCGATGGACCGAGGCCAATTGTATGAGGTTCAACAAGGCCAAATGCTGGGTCCTGCACTTGGATCACAACAACCTCATGCAATGCTACAGGCTTGGGGAGGAGTGGCTGGAGAGATGTCTGGCGGAAAAGAACCTGGGTGTATTGGTTGATAGCCAGCTAAATATTAGCCAGCAGTGTCCCCCCAAGGAAGCCAACAGCATCCTGGCCCTTATCAGAAATCGTGTGGCCAGAAGGACCAGGGAAATTATCATCCTCCTGTACTCAGCACTGGTGAGGCCGCACCTTGAGTACTCTGTCCAGTTTTTGGCCCCTCACTACAAGAAGGACTCTGAGTTGCTGGAGCGTGTCCAAAGAAGAGCAATGAAGCTGCTGAAGGGTCTAGAGAACAAGTCTTATGAGGAGTGGCTGAGGGAACTGGAGTTGTTTAGTCTGAAGAAAAGGAGACTGAGGGGAGACCTTATTGCTCTCTACAACTACCTGAAAGGAGGCTGTAGTGAGATGGGTGTTGGTCTCTTCTCCCAAGTAACAAATGATAGGACAAGAGGAAATGACCTCAAGTTGCACCAGGGGAGCTTTAGATTGGATATTTGGAAAAATTTCTTCACCAAAAGGGTTGTCAAATGTTGGAACAGGCTGCCCAGCAAAGTGGTTGAGTCACTATGCCTGTGGGTATTTAAAAGATGTGTAGATGTGGTGCCCTAGGGACATGGTTTAGTGGAGGACTTGGCAGCGTTAGGTCTATGGTTGGACTCAATGATCTTAAAGATCTTTTCCAACCAAAGTGATTCTATGGCTTTATGATCTCTTCTGTTCCCATATGATCAATGGAAAGAAAAAAGATGTAGAGCATCTTTCTCTGTCTCTTCTCTCCCTTTCCCTCTCTCTTTGGACAGTGCAGGGTGCTTAGGAAAACTGCATTTGAATAGAAACTAAGCTGCTTAGTTACACATTTAGGACAGGATGTGCTGGAAGGGAATCCTGTTGTGTATCAGAGCCCCAGGTCTCTGTGACAAAAGATGAAGCAGTTTCAAAAATCTGTCACCTAAGTGTTTTGGAAGCTCGCTTGTGGGGTTGCTACGTTCAGTAGAGACCCTTTATCATAGCACAGTTATTATCTCTACATATTCAGATCCCTGTCTACAAAATGTTTCATGCACAAAAAAGATTTTTATGTAGTCTGACAACCATTTCTAGTAAAAGACAGACAACGTACCAAACCTCCACAGCTGGCTTTGCTTATTGCAAGACCAGAGGGATGGACATGGGCAAAAACTGCTACAGCTATCTTTGTAACCCTGGGTCCAATGCCATTACCCACAGGCCCAGACGCCCCTTCATGAGTCAAAGCACCTTTAAGCCATTTGTGATGTCTTTGCAGTGCCAGGCAGAAGAATTTAAGGGGAAGGATCACACTGCCTTTAGGGTTGTTTTACTTTATCGGAATGACCAATAAGAAACTGGAGCAAGCCCCAGGCCTTTTATGCTACAGACTGTTCCCTGGGTCTGCTCTGATCTTTCCTGCAAGAAATGGACATTGTGCTATTTTAAATCTGTTTGATAGTAATTTGAGTAGGTGATCGTAAGGTACCATGATCAAAGCAGAGGTCAGACTTCCTTGTACACTTACATTTTATGAAAGATACAATTGCTCAGAAAAAAAGGCACTGTGCTTTCATTTGGGCAGAAATGTTCTTTTGGAGCCATACTGAGTTCTTCTGGGATTTGTGGTTAAGCAAAATAGAACCTTTTTTTTTTTTTTTTTTTTTTTTAACCAGAACTACATTTGTCACCATAGTAACTTTGCAAATACTAGTAGCTCAAACGTCAGAGGATGTTAGTCCATTAAGGACTAAAAGAGCTTAGCTTTGAACAGGTTATGAGCTGGGGGTCAATTTGTTCCTCTTATGTCAGCAGAAAATTGAAGATGTTTCAAAAGCAAAATATACAGTAAAAATATTAAGCTTTACAGAAGGAATTACTTGCGTAGTCTGCAAAGGTGAAATACAAGAAATACAACACAGAGAAATATTGTCACATCAGTGTAAAGAGAATTCATTCAGACTTGTTTTGCAGACTTTCACTCCAGAACATTACATGAGTTGCTTTGCCTACAAATGTAACCCCCTTCATTTTACTGTAGCCAGATGTGATTTATCATTCTATGAAATATGAACCTATGCATTCAAATGCTTCTCACTACCAAAGCTACTTATTTTATTCTTAGACATTTTTATCTAGTTTGCTTATGTCTCATCTTCTAGTTATAAAGAATTTTTTAAGTAACAAGAGATTTTGTGCTTGATAACAATTCCAAAAGCTTATGTTTTGCAAAAGACTCTGTAGTGCAAAAATACAACTGATTGACTGTGAAAATCAGTCAAATGCATCCCCACCCAACCCCACATCAGTAGGAACTTGGATACAAAGAATATAATAGGCTTATCACTGTTACATTCTCTTTTAGATGTTTTCTTTTCCACTAATGGCTTCTATAGATTTTGGTTCCCACAATTCTCCACAAAAGCCAACACATACGTCATTTGAGAAAGACATTTTGCCGTTCCTTGTATACATGACCTTTCAAATGACCGAGGTTTCTGATTAATCCAAAACACAAACCGTTGTCCTTGTAAAGAAAAGGCAAAGCTGATGTTTGCAGTATGCTGAATACAGTCAGTCTCAGTGACCTGGTGTATGTCAATAGCAATTTATCCTGTAAATCTTTCACATTCTAGTTGTATGGTAGGCAGGCAATCAGAAACATGCTTGAATTTTTATAATACATAGACGTGAGAGGGGCAGATTAATGCAGGAGTTCAATGATCCATTACTTTCAGCAATCAATGCAAGACTTGTTCTCCTTGTCATATTCCTTGTTAGAAAAGAGCACTTGCTGAGTGCCAGCTAAAGCAATGCTGTTTGCTCATCTTAAAATAGTGCTGTATTTTCCATTGCTGGTTCAAAGTACTGTAAAGTTACATCAATATATCTCAAAAAGAGTTTTGGACTGTAATGACAGAAGACTGTCAAAGACAATATGGAGGCTTTTTTCCTTTGTTTGGTGGAATGAAATACTATGTGAAAAAATGTTCAAAACACAGTATTGTGTTTTGAACACAGAAACCCTACTTTGTTTGAAATGAACCCTAAAGGAGAGGCAATGTAAAACAGTTCACATTGGCATATGTCTGTATGCACACTGCTTCAGTATTACCATGCTACCTAGTTCTGGTCCTAGGAAACACCTTGTAATACTTGTTAGTTCACAAAATATTCTTCTGAAAATATTGCTTTTTAGTTATAACAAGATTTGGTATTGCTGCCACATACAACACTGTCATTTACTGAAGGAGAGAATAAAACTATTATTGTCTAGGCAAAGCTATCCACTGTTACCTCATCTCTCATGAGCACACTGGTTTCAAATTGAATATTACAATGCTAAAAATGGTGAACACACCATTATAAAGACCAAAGACACTATTGTCATGCACTACTCCCCTCTGAGTGTGCCAAAAAAATTAAATGTCAGTTCTGGTTGTAACCAGGCATAGTGAAATGCACCTTCATGACAGAAAGCAAGTAGTAGGTAAAAGGTCTGTGTTACAGCACTTTATCTTTTGGTAAAAGATCAGGTACAAGCTTAAAGGGCTATATCTATTCTCGGATAAGACTCTCTTTAGGTCTGTAAAAGAATCAGTTTAATAACAAACATGGTTCTATCAGGAAGGCTGAAACCAACAAAACTTTCAAAGAAGCGGGAGATTAACCTTTGTGCAGCAGCACGACCCTGTACACTGCAGCCTGTACATGCAAGAGCTTCAAATAACTGTGCAGGCAACAATGATGGGATGTCTGTGTGTGCTCGTTTGGGCAGCTTACTAGGAGTGCTGCACAGCATGATGGAGTGGTGTTCAGAAATACGCAGCCCCACCTGGTTAAGGTAGCTGTGATGCTAGAAGCCAAGGTAGCTAGCACAGAGGAATATGAGATCACTGCTGTGATGTCACTGTTGTGCAAACTAGCTTGTTCACATTAAATTATGTGATAAAAACTCATCTGCACATCCACGAGGGAGTACAGAGGGATGATGGCAGATGGGAGAGCCTAAATAATACCCTGGCCCTGGCTGCTTAGCAGGAGCCATCAGCCTGTCAAAGGCCCATGTCCACAAGCTTAGAAGAGCATAGGGGCACAAAGGCAGATGACAACCCAAATTAAGGACTCAGACAAAGAGACACCACATCCAGGTCCCTCCCAGGCCTGTCCCAGGAGATCCTCAGCAACACTGTCCAGGCATGAAACCTGTCACCATGGGTCAACACTGGTGGCTTGTACATCCAAGGGCCAGCAATTGGGAAGACTGGGATCCAGGGGCAGATACTCGACAGTGTGAGCATACAAGCTCACAGGGACTTGTGCTCTATATATATCTACACAGATACATATTCTCACTAGCAGACCTCCATGCTGCTCTGCCAGGGAGGGCAGCAGGATGAGGCTGTTGGTGCTGTTTCTGCTTGTGGGAGTGCTCTGTGGGTCTGTCTGTGATCTGTGTGGCTGGCCATATCTGTGTTGTACATGTGTGTGTTGTGTGAACATGCCTGCTGGGAATACATCTTCAGCATCACTACTGGTTTGACCTGGGGCATGGAGCTGCAGCAGCCTCCCCTCTGTTGAGCTGTCAGATCCAGTACGACATACTTTCCCCTGGGAGTTCAGACTTAACTTGGCTATGCCTGGGTAACACTGCATTGTACCCTGGAGAAACTGCTACAGAGCCAAACCTGATTCTTATCGTACTTGATACGTTTCAGGTTGCACCCACTGATTGGCATACTTTAGGGTTCACTCTGAATAAATCTCCAGAGGATCACTTTATACTAACTTATATATGTCCAGAACAAATATTAATCTAACCTGGAACAGTCTCTATTATATTCTTACCCACAGACAACAAGGGTAGCAAACAAATATATTCAATAAAGATATGCCCATATAGTAAATATATCAGGAATATGAACTTTTAGAGACAGTCACAATCTACGTACCACTCTTTGGACCTAGAGCCCTCCAAGGATGCTGCCATCCCTATAGGGGCTGTTTTCTATGGGTTTTTTAGATAAATTCTGTACTAAATCACATGCACTGACAGCAGAGAAACACCCTTATAAAAATGCTCTAGAAGGGACCATGTATAATGTTTATTCCAGCAAGTTCAGGGAAAATGTTATACTTCTGATGTGCTGGTTTCAAGAAAGCATATGCAATTGATTGGACTGCATCAACTTGTCAGGAAAAAAAAAGAAAAAAAAAAAGGAAAAAAACCCCCTAGCTTAGTATCAAAGTTAGAAAACCTCAAAACCTTTTTATTTTTTGAAGTTATTGTTGAGTTCACTGATTGATGGTTAAAATTATCCCATCTCTGTCCCTAGAATAGTGTCTCCAAAGCCCATCAGCTGAACTATCAGGGATCGCAATATAGTGCCAGGATCTGAGGTGGAGTCCCCGTTATCTATTCTCAAACTTTCTCAGTTTATTTAAGTATTTGGTGAGGGGGACTGTTAGAGAAGCAGCTATGAGTTTGGAGGTGTCCAAAAGCATTCAGTGCCCCCAGCTGAACTTCCTCTCTTTATTCGCAAGTGATCAAGCCAAATGCCTGGCTACCTCTGAGCAGGAAGGCTTGCTTTCCAGCATTTTCAAGAGACATAGTTTTCCTTCTGTAATTGAGGCAATAGATGACATCTTTCCCCTCTTCCCCCAGTGCCCATCCTATGATGTGGAAAGGTATGTCACAGCCCTCTCCAATCACTGACACAGACTGGGATAGTAAGGGGAAGATCTGCCATTCCAATCTTTTCAGAGGATGGGATTGTGTCAGAAGCACTTTTCCACCCTCCTTGTCTGTGAGGAGCTCTGGCACTTTCTCCATTCAAGTTGTCTTTTCCATGTGGTAATTCTGAGATCTCCCTCATACTACCAAGTGTCTTTTATACTTCAGTGTGTACCATATGCTCCATTCCTTTCCCTATGCCCTCATTTATGTCTTCTAAACTCTTATTATTCCCAGTTGTTCTGATAAGTTATGTGCCTTAGGAATGTCCCTGTATCTTGGAGTTTTCCCATCTCCTCTCTCTATCCCACTCACCTTGGGGACAGGATGGAGATGGGATCTATAGAGGTCCCAGCACATTAAATGGTTGTAATGCTCAGTCTTGATGGTTATACAGAAGCTGGCCCTGTACCAGTTGCTCTGCACTTGGTCCTCAGACCCTGCCGCAGTGAGGGCAGGGAGAGAGGTGGCCTCAGGCTTTCCATCTGTTCTCCAGTAAATAATCCACAGTTAGTGGGAGAAGAGCCATCTAAAATGTATAAATCTAACAACCAAAAACTTCAACGCAACTTTCTGACTGGGATTTTGAAGATAATGCAAAGGTTAAAAATTTGAAGCATTCTGAGGAAAAACTAGACTTCTAGAAGAGTCCTGGAGTACTTGAATACTAGATTTTTGTGGCCATGGTTACTGGAATAGCAAGAATATACTAGAAATAATTAGTCATAACATCAGTAATAATAAAAAGAAGACCCTAATATTTGCCAGATTTTAGTTGAGCTGATACTCAGCTGGGGGGCATATACAGCCCCAAGAAACAGAACTAGCTTTGAGGAACAGTTCAGGATCTTTCCTACCTTACTGATGAGGAAGATCTGGATATTTACAACTTTTAAACTCAGACTATCACTACTCATTTCAACATTCTGGCATGCTTCAGCTGAGAGCCATAAAAGCTCAATGAATACAGATAATACAAATAATTTTACCTCTTCCTTTAATGAACCCCTTTATAATTATTGAAGCAATTAATGAAAACCAAGAAAAGCAATCAATAAAGGAAATAATTATTAAAATAGAAAACTGAGGTAGGTGAACCTGTGACAGGAATGGGAAAATTGCACCTCGATACTTCTCAATGAGGATTTAAATCTAGTGGACATCCTAGTGTCTCCACTTCTATTCAGAAGAGATGACAGATACTGAATATGAGATGCTTATTTTCAGTGATGGTACCAGCATCTGCTGACTACAAGTTCTTATTAACATATGGTAAAGAATAGGCTAAGATGTCCCAGCAACACAGGAGTATTGAATAAGGATAGAGGGTGGAAAATAAGAGGAAAAAATGAACAAAATACATTTCTTCCATCCTCAGTATCACAAAGTAGCAAGGGAAAATGATCTGGGAGATGTAGATGCAATAGCAAAAATGGGATATACCAACATCTCTACTCTTGCAGCAGACTGGAATATCGAGAATAGTCCAGGACTGAGTATATTTGATGTGTCAGTTATTTTTTATACAATATTATGTTTCCTATCTGGATTGAAGGGCAAATGAATGGAAAAATGTCTTATGATTGTGAAATAAACTGATACTGAAGAAACCAGAAGAATACCAATGAGTCACCACTTCCTTCTGACAGCCTTTATCTTTCTTGTGCAGAGCCAAAGACTGCACACCGTGCAATGAAAGGCTACATATTTAACCTTCCCTTGGAGGAAGATAAATCAATGATGCAGAAGCTGCATGACAGGTATGACACTAACAAATTTCTGGTTCAATTTCAGCCAGAAGGCTAGTCAAAATGCACATTATCCAGAACATCCCAGGTTTTCATTGTTCTGTTAGGAATTGCATCTACTTTAAGGAAAATAAATTCAGCTTTGCCAGTGAACAAAACACAAAAGCTACCTTAACAGAAGATTCCACTAAAAGTTTCTGAGGCTCTAACTTCATTTTAGAAAAACCACGTGCCACATCTCAGATTTGACAGATTATAAAGATAATCAAAATGAATCCAGTTCTTTTGGAAGGTAAAACTGAGCTAGTCTTTACTATATACACATTTATAACACTATGCAAGGGAATATGACATAACAGTTTGCAAAATGTTTAGATACTCAAAAAAAAAAAAGAAGAAAAGAGAAGAAAAAGGAGAGAAAAGCTAAAGATGTAAGAGCTGATATTGTCTGTGTGTTTATTACATTTATACTTATGTATTTTAGTGATAATCCATTACCATAATTTTAATAAGGAAGTACATGCTTGCTCAATAATGTCCACTCTGTTTCTGCATTTGACACAATGGAATAAGAGCTGACATGCCATTTGTAACTATGTAATTCTGTGTGGTTCCTAAAACGGGAGGTAGGCATCACAGAGATTCATCAATCAGAATTTTCTTTCTAGCCAACCATTTCTATCCGTTCCTACCTTGCACAAGGAAATGCCTTCCCATCCAGAATCCTTTGCTGAGTACTTTATTGCATTATATTCCATTATTAATGTAATATACAAATAATTTTCCTATTAGTCCATGAACTAGCTTTAGTGCCTTTTCTGTACAGTGATGTTTCAAGAGTACCAAGTGTCTGTTGTTGTCAGAAGATTATTTTCTGACACTAAAATGCAAATCATATCATGGATATATTGTGGGCAAAAGATATTAATGTTAAAACTTTACTTTTTATGCATGTCCCTTTACTTGGAGTTACAATGAAGGACCAGAAGCCTGCAGGGCATACTCAAATTGTATTAATCAGGTGGCATTTGTTCTTAATTTTTGCATCTTTGGCACAATCTCTGCACCCTGCTTTCTTCCCAGCTGTCAGACATACATTGAAACTACTTTCCAATATCAGTGTAGCAGGAGCCCAATTATACACTTAGTACACTAAAAAACAAACAAACAAAAAAAACCCAACTGTGATCTAAGTTTGACCTACACTCTGTATCCCTCCTCTCCAGTACCTCCTGTGCCTGAGCTCTGATGGCCATCTCTTCAGAAGAAAATCCCACCAGGTGAGGTGTTTTTGTGTACCGGTACAGCCAGTGCAACCCAGGTAGCAGTAAGTCTAGAGCAGCCTTAGGCAGAGTAAAGTTCTGACATACAATATGCCACCCTGACATTGCACACCTTGGAGGCACATAACAGAGTACTCGTATGGAAGTTCATGAGCTACTGCGAGGAAAGGTGGACTTTGGCTGAAGGTGTATATAATTAATACAAGACAGTAAATTCCCTGTCAAAGTCAACTGTATTTATTTTCTTTTTTGATGTGTAGTATATACTTCCTTTCCAAGCTTTTTGTTTTGAAAAGTTGAACAGATGTTTACACAGACAGCAGAGAAGAGAGAACAAATACTATGTTAGACATTAAAGGCTGAGACATTTTCTAACCTACTTCCCTGTCTTCTGTGTCATGAGAAAACAATATAAAACATATTTCAATATTGAATTCTTATTCACAGGAGTACAAAATTCTCTCATAAAATGAGATTTACTTATGAGCAGACCAACTAGTATAACACATTTTTCACAGTGGTACACGGTAACAACACATGTTAATGAAGAGTTTTTATGCCATGTATAATGCCACAAGCTGTGTCATACTGTAGGAAGTGATTTAGCAACACACCACACAGACAAAAGGCTGCACATTTTAATTTTCTCCCCACTGAGAAACCCACCATTAAATTATCATCCTTCCAAGCTACTACTACACATGCATAGTGCACCATCATCAAAAATTACAGTTTGAAAGAAAATGGTAAAAAGTATTTACAGGAAAATAATATTCATGGAAACAATAAAAGGCAAAATACAATCTGCACTTGCATATCTTTAGACTGTCCCCATGGTTTCATGTTCCAGATGCTTCCAAATAAATGATCCTTTTAATCACCAATTTATGTTGATTGTACAGGCTGTCGCTGGAACTCTGAGTAATGACCCTAATCAATACAGCTGATCCTAACTGGTATTTGAAAAACATAACTGTGAAAGAAGGGAGTACTGAAGTAATTTACTAAAGTGACTACAGCATCTGTTTGAGTACATTACACTTTTAAGTAAATGAGCAATTTGCTGTCACTTAAAAATATTTTTTTTGCTTGCCATTTTGTATTCTATATATTCGTATCAGTAAACGGATACAGACACATATGTATGTGTCCTCACATTTGCTGTTTTTCTTTCTCACAGTGATATACTTTTGATATGTATTTTTTTTATAGACAATTAGGCAAG